TAATTAATAAAATTTATCATATTTCAACTAAAATATTTTTAAAACATAAATAAATAAATATCAAAATAATTTTTAATTACAACATCTCACATCAGTCTCTAACACACCCTTAATACTTATTTGTACCTTACTTAGGTGGCAGGCAAGGACAAGGTCAATACCCACCGGATAAGCAATTATATGTCAATAAGTTGTCCACTTTAACGAGATACAAATGGCGTTAAGTTTGCCATAAAAATGAGGGTCAAATTGCCTTAGATGGTCAAATTAAGGAGCTTATTTGTTTCAATAAAAATTTAGGGTTTAATCAAGAGTTTGGGGTAAGTTTGGTGGCTAGGGTTTTGCCTATAAATAATGGTATTCGTGCCTTTGGGTCTGAATTAAATCATCCTCTGAAAAGTGAAAGAATGGAGATAATTCCTACCAAACACTTGCTCTGTCTTTTCTGCCTTTTCTGCCTTTTCATTGTCTTTGGCTCAGCGGAGGTGGCGGCGACTCAAAACACAATGGAAAAAGCAACAATTCCGGTGAACGTGGGAGTCGTTCTTGACATGGACCACTGGGTTGGGAAGTTAGGGTTGAGCTGCATCAACATGGCCCTCTCCGACTTTTATTCCAATCATAGTAACTACAGAACCAGGCTGGTTTTAAACATAAGGGATTCCAAGGGAGATGTTGTTGGAGCGGCTGCCGCCGGTAAGAACCTACTCTTTCATTACCTCATCATTTTCCATCATCTTAATTTATTCCCGTCTTTATTTTGTTCCATATTTGCTTGCTGATCACTTTTATGAGTTTGACTCTGTATCTCTTTAATTTAATTTCTTTCATGTTTCGCATATATAGAAAAAGAAATTCTTCCATGTTTTCCTTTGGAATAAACCAAGAAAATGTTAAGGCAGAAAAAAAAAAAAAAAGAAAGAAAGAAAACATAAAAGAATCTGTTCGTTTCAAAGATTTTTTGCCGTTGTGGACCATCTCTGGTTTATTTTTGTGATGGGAACATTTTCTAATTTAAAATGATTGGTCAAGACTAGTTATATATTTTTTATTAATTTTATCTAAGATGTTTACTTTCTTCTAAAATAATTTATTAACTTTCAAAGTGATATCAAGTCAGTCTACGAGCCACTGCCGTTAATTAACATAACAGAAATCTTTGTCAGCGCTTTGTGTTGTGTCACTTCATCTGCCACATAAACACCACATGGTCCCTCCTTTTTGGTCATGTGGTATTTACGTGACAGATAACGTGGCACCACGTAAGTGCTTATAAGGATTTTCGTCATGTTAAGTACCGACAATGGCTTAATTTAAAAAAA